GCAGGAAGGACTTCTGCTCTCTCTAGTCACTCGGGGTTCCAGAAGCTCTGCCACCCTATCATGTGACTCCCAGGGGGCTCTGGCTATCAACATTCAACAAGTCAAGAGGGAAGGAAGATGCTTGGAGAAGTGCATGGGAAGAGTGGAGTCAGGCCCAGAGGGCACACAACATTTCCTGTCATTCCAGGAGATGGTGCCAGTCTTGGGGCCACCCTAGCTGTGAGAGGCCGGGGCAGGGAGATGAGAATGGACCAATCAATCTGCCATTTTCCTCCACTCAACTTCTTTTTTAAAAAACTCAAAACAAAGTTAGGCATGGTAATGCACGCCTTTAATCTCAGCACTTAGGAGGCAGAGGCAGGCAGATCTCTGTGATTTTGAGGCCAGCCTGGTCTACATAGCAAGTTCCAGGTCAGCCAGAGCTACATAGTGAGACCATTTCAAAAAAACAAAATAACAAAAATCTAAGCAGATGCCTGGTAGGTTGACCAGACTCCAAGAGCATTTGGGAAACACAGATTAGACTCAATAGACCTTTTTTAAAAAGGCAATAATGGAGGACATTAAGTTCAGGGACAGGGGGCGGGGGTAGTAAAGTGGGTAAGGGGTCCGGATATAATTAAAATACATTGCATGAAATTCTCAAATCAATAAAAAATATTTTAATAATGTTATTTATTATTTTTATTTTGTGTGTTATGAGTATACTGCCTGCATGTACATAAGTGCACCCATGTCATGCAATGCCCACGGAGGTCAGAAGAGGGCATCAGATCCCCTTGGAACTCATTACAATGGTTGTTAGCCACCAAGTGGTACTGGGTATCAAACCCAAGATCCTCTGCAAGACAGCCAGTGCTATTAACCACTGTGCCATTAAAAAAAAGTATTTATATATATATATATATATATATATATGTCTTTTTTGGGCCTTTTTTTTTTTTTTTTTTTTGGTTTTTGAAACAGGGTTTCCCTGTAGCCTCAGCTGGCCTGGAACTCACTATGTAGACCAGGCTGGCCTTGAACTCAGAGATCTGCCTGTTAGCTACGGTTAACAACCAAAAAATAAAAATATTTTTTCAAAGATCAAGACAGACACTAAAAAGCCGAATGTTACTACCTTAAACACAGTCACTTCGATATTTTGCTTTATTTTTGTATTTTAGGTAACCGAGGGATCAGGCACCTCCTCTGTAAAGATGAGCTGCTGCTGGCAGCTCTGTCATTGTCTCATGCCCGCTCAGTGCTAGTCACCACTGGGTTCCCCACACACTTCAATCAGGAGCCCCCTGAGGAGACAGATGGCCCACCAGGAGCCATCGCTCTAGCCAGCTTCCTGCACACCCTGGGGAAGAAGGTCTCCATGGTGGTAGACCGAAGAGCCTTGAATTTACATACGAAGTTTGTGGAAGATGCTGTTGAGCAAGGTGAGCAGTGGCATGGGCTCAATCTATTTCCCAGAACAGGCCTTTGTGGGCAGAAAATGGAGGAAATCGATGTACGGACCTTCTGCCATGTACCCAGACCAAAGCTGTGCCCTTGTCATGGGGTGTTTTCTTCAGAGCACAGAACAACTCTTTCTCATACCAACAGCATGATTCTCATTTTATGGAGAAAGAGTCTGAAGCTCCAAGAGGTTCAGGTGATCTAATGAAGTAGGAATGATGGGTTGTGCATCAGTGTTCAGGCTCCTCTACAAGCCAGTGCCCTGCAGGGCCAAAGCTCTGTGAGCCCACTCTACCCAGTAGGGCTGATTCCCACAGGGCACCCTCAACCTAGTGGGGACAGGAGTTAGAGAATAAGTCCCCTGCCTCCTGTGAAAGTGAGATCTCAACCCAGGAAATGGTGACCTTGAATGCACATTCCCCCTTCTTGCTTCCCCTGTTCCCTCTATCAGCTTTTTCACACTGTCTCCCAGGAAACCACTTGCATCCCATCTCAGGCCCTGATTTCAGGGTAACCGGAATGTTATAATAGAGAAGAGAGGCAGGTTGGTTGATTCATGGAGAAGGAAGCTGAGGCCAGTCACCCCTCAGAAGGAGCTTTATTAGGAGAGAGAGCTTCATGACCATGGAGGAGGGAAGGGTTTGATTGGGCCTTGAGGTGGGAAAGCATTATAAGCCTTATAAAAACATGAGAGGTAGTTTAAAGTGGAAGAGTTTGGGAGATAGCAGTCCTATACAATGGGGATGGGGGGAGCATCTGAAGAAGAGTGAGAGAGCCTTCAGAGAAATTCTCTGGACAAAGGGGATTTTCTGACTTTTATAGGTTTTCAGGATGTGGCATGGGACTCACACACCAAGGAGCTGGGTACTAGGTAGGACCATAAATTTGTTTTGCAGCTGTAAAGGAAGAGTGACTGGGCCATGTTCAGAAGAGCCCTACTCACAACAGCAGATGCTTGGGAGCCACCCAGGTGTTCACAGACAGATGAGCAGATAAGAATATGCATTCAGTGGAATGATGCTCAGCCTTAAAGACGAAAAAAATGCCAACACATGCCACTCCATGGATGAACCTTGAGGACATTATGCTAAGTGAAATAAGCCAGTGGCAAAAGGATAAATACTGCCAGGCATAGTGGCACACACCTGTAATCCCAGCACTCAGGAGGCTGAGGCAGGAAGATCATGAGTTTGAGGCCAGTGGGTTACATAGTAAGGCCAGGTCTCAAAAACAAGTAAGAAAACAAATGAAGAAACAAACACACACACAAAAAAAGTCAAGCACTATAATTCCATTTTTATGAGGTACCTAGAATAGTCAAGTTCATAGAGACAGAATAGAGTCAGGATTGTCAGGGGCTTGGTTATGAGGAAATAGGAAGGAGTGTTTAATGGTGTCATAATTACTTTCCTTATTACTGTGGCCAAACAGCTAACAAGAAGCCACCTCTGGGAGGGTTTATTTTGGCTCACAGTTTGAGGCGATACAGTCCATCAACATGTGTCTACAGGAGCAGGGGAGCTCAACAGTCGAGAGCAGCAGGACAGGAAGTGGAGTCGAGCTATTAAACCTGAGGCTTGCCCCCAATGACCCACTTCCTCTTAGAGGCCCCACCTCCTAAAGGTTCCATAACTTTCCAAAACAGTATCACCAGCTAAGGATCAGGTGTGCAAACATATGAGCCCATGGGGAATGTTTCACACTCAAATCACAACAAATGGGAAGGGTTTCCACTTGGGAAGAGTAAAGAGTCCTGGAGATGCACAGGGTGGTGGCTACACAAAAATGCACTTAATCCCATTGGAGTAAGATGGTAAAAATGAACTGGGTGTTATGTGCACGCTTATAATCCTAGCCCTGGGGATCCTCAGAGACAATAGGATCAGGAGTTCAAAGCCAACATTGGATACATGGTTGGACTCTGTCTCAAGAAAAAAGGGTTAAAATGATCAATCTTATGCCTTGTATATTTGGCCAGAGTTAACTTTTGTTTACAAAGAATGCAGGCTTGGCCCTGCTGAGTGTGAGATATCTGAGGCACACGAGTGAGAGGCAGAGTAGAGTCACACACAGAGGTGTTCACAGCCTCTGACTAACCAGAAGGACATGTTAGAGGGCTTTGGCACAGTGATGGCATCTACAGTGGAGGCTCTGATGGAAAGTACTGTGGATATAAATGGGGATAAAGCAAATATGCCAAAATTGTACACTGAGTCCCTTCACATCTGGAGGATGAGGAAAGGTAGGGAGGTGGCTTTGGAATACTAGAAGGAGCAATAGGAAACCAAGGGACGATGACTGTGACGCTGTGCTCCCAGGCCAACACCAACAGTTTTCCACCTGACAATTTCTCTGGTGGCTGTTTAGCATTCATTTTCTAGAAGGAGCTGTGCCGTCCCTACTCAGCTGGGCAGCTCCCAGGGACTCTGCTCAGGGCTGTCTTCCTCACATGGTACTGGGGCGGGGGGAGGGGGGCAGTGCACGGTGGCTGCTTCATTGGACTTTACAGAAGTTTTATTATATTTAGATGAAAAACATGAAAGTAACTGGACCTATTAGTGAAAGATATTTCAATCCTTTTGCTGAGGCCTAGGGCACAGTCTAGAGGAAAAAAGGCAGAGTCATTTCTCTGAGCATAAACCCACCAAGGAGCTCACTTTGTCTCTCAGAAGAGGGAGCCGTGTCTTCCTGACTTGCCTTGGCAGAAGTTCTGAAGTGCCCTTTCTCAGATGTGAGCCCCACATTGCCTTGGTCTCCTTGGTACCCACTCCTCTGACCAGTATCCAGCATCCTCATAGGAAGTGAGGAGGAGTGGCTTTACCCTGCACCTCTTTGCACCAGACCCCAGCTACGTAGATGTCAAGTTTATCATGGCACCATCCCAGCAATATGGCCAGGTGGGCGTTACTTTGTAGAGGAAGATCTCAGGGCATTCATGTGGCTTGTCCAATGTCAGATACCTCTAAGTGATAGGTCCAGGGACCCTGCCTGATATCTCTGTTGGCCATCTCTAGTTCTGCTTGAAGATTTGTCCTGGGCCAGTGAATATCACCAAGATCCTTCTCCAAACTGCTGTGCGATAAATGAAAACCAAATAAATCTCAATTTATTTGGGGATTTTTGTATATTTTGCATATAATCTAAAACAGTGTGTTGTGTAATCAGAAAAGGTTCTTTTTTTAAGGAATCAATTTCACTTTGTAACTCACTCCCATAAAACTACCTAACAGAGGGCCCAGTCTCTGGGATTTTGTGTGAATTGTTATTTGTATTCCCTGAAGGAATGTTTGTATGGAGGAGGGACAGATAAGAATTTGGGGTGAGAATTTGATGGTTGATTTTACATGACAGCTTGCCATAACCCAGAATCACCTAAGGAAGGAGTCTCAATGGAAGAGTTACCTCGATCAAGTCGGCCTGTGGGCATGTCCGTGGGAGATTGCTTTGATTGTTAATTGAAGTGGGGAGACTCAGCCTATTGTGGGTAGCACCATTCTCTAGGTCCTAGGCAGGAGACCTTGCACAGTATGAGGAAGGAGAAACTTAGCAGAAAGAAAGCAGTATGTGGCATTCTTTTCTCTCTGTTGTTTTTTTAAGACAGGGTCTTACTATGCAATCCTAGCTAGCCATGTAGACCAGGCTGTCCTTGAACTCACAGAGATCTGTCTGCCCCTGGAGTACTGGGATTAAAAGCATATGCCACCACACCCTGCTCTTGACTGTGGATATGATGTGACTAGCTGCCTGAGTTCTTACCTTGACTTCCCCTCAATGATGGACTGTGACCTGGAATTGTAGGCTGAATAAACCTTTCCTCCCCCAAGTTGCTCTTGGTCAGAGTGTTTTATCACAGCAGCAGAATTGAAGCTCTAACAGAATTGGAATTGTGACACTAACATGTATACCACACTTGACTTTGGTCAACTTCTTTTGTGTCTCCGAGCTTCAGTTTTCCTCTAATATAAAATGGAAATAATAATTGTTTTGTGAAACAGAACTATTATGAAAATTGAATGAGAGCATGCTTGTCAAATGCTTAGCAGAGGTCAGGCACATTACTGTCTGGGTATCTAAATGTGTACCCAGCACTCTGGCTGGCAGTGGGCCAGAACAGACCTCCTGTTAACATGGTGTTGTGGGGCATCTTATATATGGCATATCCCCTGGTCTACACTGGACCCATTTGACCCTCCAACCCCAGATAACTTTAGAGTTTATTCAGGATCAAACGTAAACCTATCAACATCTATGTTCTAACAAAGTGTTCTGCAGAGGGATACTGCTCAATAATGGTCACACTACTGTCGAAAGAAGTTTTTGGAAGCATGATGTGCCACCTGCACTAATGCATCTGCCCATTGTCTTTATTTTCAAGGTGTTCTGAAGACACCAATCCCTATATTAACTTACCAAGGTGGATCAGTGGAAGATGCTCGGGCATTTTTGTGTAAAGATGGGGATCCCAAGTCACCTAGGTACGTATGTTGCACCCCAAATCAAGCGCATGGGGGTGAGGAAGGCTACATTCCCTTAACTTTTTTGACAAGGTTTCTCCTCACCTCACCCTATAAAAGAGAACAAAGCCATCAGCCCAAGAAGTCAGGATTCTGATGGGCCATGGTAGACATGAAGCTGGAGATGTCAGGGTCTACTGATCGGGGAGGGGGTGGTTCACAGAGTGTGTCTGAAAACAGGTCCATGCCAGCAGGAAGAGATAGTGCTTATTCTGAACAAAATCCAAAACAAAGGCTAACAGTCTCTTAAACAATGGGGTCAGGGCTCACTGGAGCAGTAAAATTATTTCAACTGAGAGTAACCAACACCTTTCGAAGATGAAATAGAAATAGCATCATATAGCTTGTAATGAGATGTGCTCTCATGAAACTCTGTGTTTGTGTTTGTGTGTGTGTGTGTGTGTGTGTGTGTGTGTGTGTGTGTGTGTGTGTCTGTGTCTGTGTCTGTGTCTGTGTTTGGGTATGTTTTTCTGTGTGTTGTGGTCAAACATTTTGAAAACCTCTTGTTTGTCATAAGTAGAAATGTGTTTCAGATGTTATAACTTATACAATATTTTGTATACTCTTAACAGCCCACAGTAACACATTTTGCACTGTAAACCAGTACACATGTGTAACCAAGATAGACATTCAAAAGCCAATATTGACTTTCACTATTGAAAGACTCAAATCGGTTCTATGTGCAACATACTCTGTTGCTTTCAATCTGTTTTACTCCAGCCCCCGACTTTGCCTATTTTAAGTAGTGCTGCTAGGAACAAGGGTGGACAAACCACTCTGTAAGTCCTTGCTCTCAAGTCTGTCTGATCTGTACCCAGAAGTTGAATTTCTGGATCATGTGGGGAATCTATTTTTAATATTTTGGGAAACTGCATTACTGTTCCATCATGGCACTGAGATTTTGAAGAACTCTACCGTGGGGGGATTTAGAGAGACATGAAAGTGTCAGTTTCCTGTTTCCACTTTGGAGTATCAAAACAACATTCCTGCTAATAGGGCTGGAGAGATAGCTCAGAGGTTAAGAGCACTTGTTGCTCTTGCAGAGGACCCGGGTTCAGTTCCCAGCATCCACATCCCGCTTTTCACAACTGCCTGTAACTTCAGTTCCAGGGAATCCAACACCCTCCTCTGGCCTCCATGGGCATTGTATGTACATGGTGCACATACAGGTAAGCAGGCATACACACATACACAGAAGTCAAAAAAAAAAAAGAAAAAGAAATAGCAATACCAACAGCAACCCCAGATGACATGTGCTAAGCTCCAAGTACCTGTGACAAGTGCCTCCTTTAGCTCCATCAATGCTGTATGAGATCCACTCTGCAGATGCATGATACCCTGCAGATAGAGAAAGTAATGCATGGTTGGAAAGACCAAACAACTCACCCAAGGCCAATGGCAGGAGGACCTAGAGTGAGACAAGGTGGCAGAATTCCAGAGCCACTTGACCACCATTCCACCTGTGCCTTTGTAAGATCATCTTATGTTCCATTTCCTAATTATTTGATGTCTGTAAAGTGAACCAGAGGCCAAGGAAGCCAAGGAGGGGTAATGGTGGCTCATAGTCTCCAACACTTAGTTTCTCTCAGACTGGCCACTGAGTTGAGTAAGGGGCATTGGGTGGGACACTGGAAGTGTCCCTCCAGCCACCCAGTTACCTTGACCACTGATCTTCTCCCTTACAGCTCTAGTAAATTGCAGAAGATCCCAGTGGCTGTTAAAAGGCCGTTGAGGCAGGAAGGAAAGTTGGGGGAGATTAAGGGGACGTGGGAAGAGAAAGTAGCCTTACTCCAGAATCTGCCTCAAAGAAACTGCAACACAACTGACAAAACCAAAATTGCCCATGAATAGGGCTGGAGAGATGCCTCAGAAGTTAAGAGAGCACTACCGCTCTTGCAAAAGACCTGAGTTCAGTCCTCAGCACCCACATCAAAAAGTTCACACAACAGCCTATAACTCTAGCTCCAGGGAATCTGATGACCTCTTCTGGACTCTATGGACACCTGTACTCACAAATGTGCACACATGCACACTTAAAATAAATCTGGGCTGGAGAGATGGCTCAGTGGTTAAGAGCACTGACTGCTCTTGCAGAGGACTGGGTTCAATTCCCAACACCCACATGGTGGCTACAAACGATCCTTAACTCCAGTTCCAGGGGAATCCGAAACTTACTTCTGACCTCCACAGCATTGCATGACACAGGTGCACTTCCTTACATGCAGGCAATACACTCATACACATAAAATAAAAATAATAATTTAAAAATAAAATAAAATACAGCCTGGTCTACATATTGAGTTCCAGGACAGCTGGGGCTATAGGGAGACCCTGTCTCAAAAAGACAAAAAAATAAATAAGTAAAATAAAATAAATCTTTACAAAAATCATAAAATTTCCCAGAGAGATAGTGTTTTGTTTTCCTAAAGACATCTCAAATAAGGATGCTACAAACAACAAGTAGGGCCTGAGAGATAATTCAACAGTTCAAAGCACTTGCTGCACAAGCCTGATGACCTGCATTCAATATCCAGAAACAGAAGGTGATAACCAACACCTAAAAGTTGTCCTCTGCCCTCTACACATGTGCCATGGTGCATACACACACATACGCACAGATACAGACACACTCATACACACACACACGGAGACACTAACAGTAATAATTTTTTTCTTAAGTTCAGGGTGTCATTTACCTGTTGGCAAGATGACTCAACAGGTAAAGGTGCTTGCTGCCAAGCTTTCCGATCTGAGTTTGATGGCAAGACCCCAAATAAAGTTGTGCTTTGACCCCCACACATGTCCTGTAGCACGAATGTACCCATAGATCATACATACACAATAATTATTTTCAAAGTAGCAATTAAACTTTAAGACATCCTCAGCTACAAATCAAGTTAGAGGGCAGACTGGGCTATATAAGACCCTATTTCAGAGAAGAAAAACAAAAAACAAAAAGCTGTATTTACTTAGGACCAGAGTGTTTATAACCTTGAGTATATGCGTACTCAGCTCTCTCCCTAAATTCATCCAAGCAATATATCTCACAAAACCATCTTGTGATTTCATTTACAAAAGGAAATTCCTTTTTTAAAAAAATAAATAAACCAGCTTATATTTTTTACTTTTAAACTTACTTAAAAAGGGGGCTGTAGAGATGCCTCAGCAATTAAGAGCCCTGACTGCTCCTCCAGAGGACCTGGGTTTGGTTCCTAGCACCTACACGGCAGCTAACTGTCCATAACTCCAGTTTCAGGGGATCCGACACCTCTCTTCTGGCCTCTGTGGGCATTGTATGACATGGGTACGCTTACATACATGCAGGTTCATGCACATAAAATAAAAATAAATAAAAAAATTAACTTAAAATTTAAACTTTGTTTAATCTTTAAATCTTGTTATAAATTATATTCTCTGAACACTATAACTTAGAAAGACACAGAATCATATATGTAGCCAATGGAAAGACACAGACATATAGCTCCCCTTTCTTTAGAAGGCTGCCTTCATGTGTGTACTGTCCTTTTCCTCTGTGTGTGTGTGTGTGTGTGTGTGTGTGTGTGAAATACCTGTACTTAAATATAAAGTGTGTACTATCTCTCATCTCTTAATAAACTTATTGCACTCTGACTCATTTTGAAATTCTTTTCTGCAGTTTATCAATGCAGCCAAGGATCTGGTCTTACCTAAGTGCAGGTCCCTAGTGGGAAGTTCTCAGGCTACTCACCATGGCCACAGTGCTGGACTGTCTGAATACCACCATCACCATGATGAACTAGACCCCAGCAGAGGTTTCCCACACAGTAGGCCCTTAGAATTAAAGGACCAGTTAAGAAACCAAGGGTTCTTCACACAAGACACACAAAGGTGTCATATTCCCTATGAAGACTTAGCACCATTGCTTCCAAGCAGATTTGACCACCTGGTGGCCATAGAACGTGCTGGAAGGGCTGCTGACGGCAATTACTACAACATGAGGAAGATGAACATCAAGCACTTAGTTGATCCGATTGATGATATTTTCCTTGCAGCACAAAAGATTCCTGGAATCTCATCAACTGGTAAGTAGCAGACATGAAGAATTCAACACGACCTTCTCAGTACTAGGCATCTTTTTAATGATGACTGAGCACAGGACAAGAAAGGGTTACACGGTCACTGTTGCTTTCCACTCACCAAATGGTCTTTGTTTATTACATTCAGTCTAGACACTAATGAGACCGTTATTAAGAAATGCAACATTCCCACAGGAGAAAGGGAAGTGACACAGAACACATTCAATTTACCCAACTCTGAAGTAATAAAACTCATCATGAAATGTTAGCAATAATAAAATTGAGGCACGGCATATTATTTTGATAATATAGGATGGACTGTGTCAGGTATCATCTGATGAAATGCTTCAATTTTTAAGTGTATCAAATGTAAGATGAGTGAAATATTACTGTTGATGATGTGATCATTCGCCTTTGTACTGAACTTTATGGTTTTCCAAGAGATTTCACAACAGTGGTACTGTTTATACCACTTAAAAACCCCTGAGGTTGGAAGGAAGTAAACTGCCCAGAAAATGAGGCCGGAGGAGGTGTTCTGAAGTTGTCTAGCTAATTAGCATTGCTGGTAGAATCAGGAACACAGTGCAGGCTTCCAGGTCCTACTGCTCAGGGACCACATTGTTATTATGAGTATGCAAATCCCCAAAGGACCCCAGCTATGCCTGACTCCCTCAGGGGCAGGCGTCAGGTCCTTCAGTGCCTGTTGTTCTCTAAATGCCTCAAGTGTTTCCCAGACACATTAGTCCCCTCTGACTTTTGAGGTTTTGAGGAGACAATGAAAATCTTCTGGGCTGATTAGAAAGTTTCTGCAAATCCTCAGCTTTTCCCAGAAGTGGCTGTGGGTGGGGCACATATAGTGCAGTTGGCTTGGTTGGTCTCTGGCTTCCTGTCACTCTGGGTCGGGCAGGTGGAGGACCCAAGGCCTTCAGGGAGGTGTTCTCAGCATGGGAGAAGGAAAGAATTTCTGAGTCCAAAGAAGCAGTTAGCAGTCAAAGTTAGGGGAATTGCTGGAGCACCCCCTTCTCCTACTGAATGAACCCCATCTGTAATGGCCATCTATGACTTCTAACTACCCCTTTAGCTTACCCCTGGACACTTCCAGCTGGTTGTATTAATATCTGTCATTCAACAGGTTGTCACTGACCTAGAAAACTATTTTGAAAAAAAATTCTCAGGGTGTAAATAGAAGCTGTTCAGTCATTCACAATTATCTGATTCTTTTTGGCTGAGTCTGATCTCCAGTGCTTGACTTGGTCTAGTTCCCCTCTCCACCATCCCACAATTAATGTTATCCTCTGGCAGAAGTCTTCTGCATATTACAAGCCCTTGTGGAATCAGACCCAAATACAGTAATACCCAGTCCGGTAGGCTTGCAAGGTGTTTTAGTTTCTTTCTTATTACTGTGCTAAAGACATTGACCAAATCAACTTGGGAAAGGATTTATTTGACTTACAGCTCACAGTCCATCATCAAGGGAAGCCATGGCAGCAACTCAGAGCAGTAACCTGGAGACAGGAACTAAAGTGCAGACCACTGAAGAGTACTGCTTACTGGCTTGTTTCCCTAGCCTGTGTTCAGTTCGCTTTCTTATACAGCACAGGACCACCTGCCCAGGGATGGTACCACCCACAATAGGCTGGGCCCTCCCCCATCACTCAACAATCAAGAAAAAGCTCCACAGGCATGGCCACAGGCCAATCCAATAGAGAAAATTCCTCAATTGAAGTTCCCTCCACCCAGGTGTGTCAAGTTGATAAATGAAGCTATCTAGCACAGGAGGAGGTTAGTTTTCTGTCCTTGAAGGCACTGGGGTACACCTCTTGCATAAAAGGTTATTAAGACCACTCTCACTGTGTTGTCCAGGCTGGTCTTGAGCTAGAACAATCCTTCCACTTAGACCTCCAGACAGCTGTACCTAGAATTATCTATTGGCAGGTAAAATTGCTTCCAGTTCAGCTGACTATCTAGTATACAAAAGTGTGTGTTCTTGCTGGGTGTGGTGGTACTCACCTTTAATCCTGGCACTCAGGATTAACTCTGTGAGTTCGAGGCCAGCCTGGTCTACATAGTGATTTCCAGGCCAGCTGGAATATGCTTTTCATATTCCTTAAGCAGAAGCCTTTAAAGTAAGTTACAGTTTACCTCTGCCAATGGGATGTTGGCCAGTCACATTGGTAGAGCTCAGTGAGTGGAGCCACTGTGTGTGAGCTCCTGAGTGTCACACTGTCCTTGTCTCCAGTGGGCCTGATAATGTCAGAAGACAAGATACTCCCACCTGTGACTGGAGGTTGTGATCTAACAGAAGAGAGTCTCACTCCAGTGAGTTCCAAAACTGGACTCCTAACTTCAGAAGTTTCTAGACGAACTGAAGAGGAAACAATATCTAGTTATCAGAAATCTATTCAGAGCCAAAACAGACACATGTGGAGGGGCTGCCTAGTCCCACTCCCACCCCCCCTTATCTTGTATACTGACTCAGTTTCCCTTCCCTTCAGGGGTTGGTGATGGAGGCAATGAACTTGGGACAGGCAAAGTCAAGGAGGCCGTGAAGAAGTACATTAGAAATGGAGATGTCATTGCCTGTGATGTGGGGGCTGACTTTGCTGTCATTGCTGGTGAGTACCCCAGGGTTCAGAGATCATTGCGAAAGAGGGGATGGAAAGATTGTAAGAGCCGGAAGTAGTAGATGACCTCAAGTCAGAGTTTTCCAGACAGTTGGTCAGTTACATGAACTTACAGCAACTGTGACAGCATGCACAAGTAAGTCCCATGCAAGCTCAAACCAGAAAAAAAGAAAATCCTAGCATAAGGAAGTGGGTAAGAAGCCCCAACTCAGCCTAAGGAAATTGTGGTAACAGATGGCTACTGGGAGGGGCAGAGATAGTCTCTTTCAAGCACAGGACTCTTGGTAGGTCAACCAGGCTCCAGTGGATGGACCCACACTAAAGGACATCTGGGACACAAATTAGACTTCATAGGCCTTAATATATATAATACAGTGCATTAAGTTGGGTGAGGGAGCAAAGATGAGGGGATCTAAATACCATCAAGTTATGTTGTATGAAAATTGCAAAAAGTCAATAAAAATACAAAAACTAAATTAATAACCTTACATATTAGAAGACTAAAGAAGAAACTCACATAAGATCAAGAGATACAGAAAAAGTATTTTAATTCTTTTTATGTGTATGAGTGGTTTGCCTGCATGTATGTAAGTGCACCCATGAGTATAAAGCTGGAGGAGGCCAGAAGAGAGAATGGGATCCTCTGGAACTGGAGTTACAGATGGTTGGTAGCCTCCCTGTGGGTGCTAGAAACTGAACCCCGGTTCTCTGCAAGAGCAGCCAGTGCTCCTGACTGCTGAGTCATCTCTCTAGCCCCCAGAAAATTTTTTGTTATTTTTATTTTTTGTCTTTTAGAGACAGGGTCCTTATAGCTCCAGCTGGCCTGGAACTTGCTACATAGATCAGGCTAGCCTCCATCCTGCAGAGATCCTGAGTGCTGAGATTAAAGGCATGTGCCACCACACCCAGCTCAGAAAAAATATCTTTAGAAATCCATCCGTGGGGCTGGCGAGATGGTTCTGAAGTTAAGAGCACTGGTTGCTCTTGCAGAGGACCCAGGTTTGGTTCCCAGCATGAACATGGCTGACAGCTGTCCTTAACTCCAGCTCCATGGGATCCAACACCCTTTTCTGACCTCCACAGGTGCATTTATATACATGCAGGCAATATACTCATACACATAAAATCCATCCAGGAGTGGCACAGTGAGGACATCCTCTCTCTGACCACTGTTTTTCAACGTTGTACCGGAAGTCTTAGTGCAATAAGATGAAATAAAATACACACAGGTCGAGAAGAAAGAAAACAATTGTTTCTGTACATGTCATGTTCATCCCTATAGAAAATCCAAAAGAGTCAACAGCAACAAAAAAATTCCTAGAACTAATAAGTGACTATATCAAGGCTTCAGAACACCACGTCAATCATCAACAATTAATTAACTGAATCTGAAATTAAAAACATACTGCCATTTATAGTATCACCTTTCAAAATGTAATACTTAGGTAGAAAACTAGCAACATATCATCACCATCTATATGAGGAAAAGTATAAAACGTTAATGAAAGATATCAAAGAAAACTAAATAATGGAGAGGTAGTCCATGTCCGTGGATAGGAAGACTCAACAGTATCAAGATGTTAATTCTCCCAATTTGATCTACAAATCTAATGCAATACCAATCAATATCCTCAGGAGTAATTACATGGATTCTATATTAGCTGCTTTTCTCATTGCTGTAGAAAAATACCCAACAAAAGCAATTTAAGGAAGGAAGAGTTTATTTTGGCTCACAGTTTGAGGGGGTGCAGTCCATCATCATGCATGGCAGGAGTGTGAGGCAGCGGATCACATTGTATCTGCATCAGGAATCAGAGAGTGATGAATGCCAGCGTTCTGCTTGCTTGCTCCTGTTTTCTTTTTCTTTCTGTCTTCTTGTGTGTGATATATGTTCTCTGATTATACATATGCATGGCATATGAACACCCCCACACATATGCATAAATAAATAATAATAAACATAATCATTAAATAATAATAAACCAAAATATGTTATTACCATAAAATCCAGAAATCACACTTTTTGGTATTTACTCAAATGAGTTCGAGGCTTATGTCTACACAGACACCTGTACTGCACACAGATGTTCATAACAGGTTTATTCATAATTGCCAGCACTTAGAAGCAACAAACTATCCTTCAGGGGGTGAATGGGTAAACTGGGTACATCCAGATGATGGAATACGTTCAGTGGTAAAAACAAATGAGCTATCAAGTCATGAAAAGCCATGAGGAACTTTAAGAGCTTATTACAGAATGGAATAAGCCTGTCTGAAAAGGCTGTGCATGAGCTGATTGCAATCGCATGAGGTTCTGGAAGAGGCAAAACTATGGAGATAGCAAAAAGATCAGTGGTTGCTAGGGACTAGAGGAAAGAGCTCATGTGTGCAGTGAGCTCATACCATCATGGACCTTTAGAACATGAGCTCAAGTTAGCTGCCTTTCCTGGTACCCCTCTAGTCTCTCCCATCCCCATTATGTACCCTGTGATCCAGGCATGATGGCTACTGTCATTGCATAATACTGCACGTGTTTTAATTTTTTTTAATCTAAAAGATGATGTGATAGTAAGGCCAAAGTCATTCTTAAGAAGCAGGTAGTGATGAATGACAGACGCAGGCAGAAATGTGCCGTGTTATCCCAACCATAGCGCCGTCAGTGGCTTTAGCTTGCTGTCAGCGTCACTTTCCATGCTCACCCCTTCTATTAAAGCTGACAGACATGCATTTCACTTCTGCTGTTTCCTTTGATATGGTTTCCAAACATGTTCTTATTTTCTACATTCGCATAGAGGTTGAGAATGAGCTCATTACACAACGGTGAGAATGCACTTAATGCTGCTAAACTGCAAACTTACAGATGGTGAAGATGGTAAACTCAACTGTGATGATTTGTTTTGAACGGATGGATGGATGGATGGATAGATGACTGATAGATGAGAGGTGATAGATGATTGATAGATGAGAGATGATAGATGATAGGTAGATAGATAGATAGATAGATAGATAGATAGATAGATAGATAGATAGATAGATGATAGAAATATACTTAATACTATTGAACAGTATACTTAAAGATGGTTAAAATAATGAATTCAGGGCTGGAGAGATGGCTCAGCAGTTAAGAGCACTTACTATTCCTGCAAAAGACCCAGGTTCAATTCCCAGCACCTACTTGGTAGCTAACAACTATCTGAAACTCCAGTTCCAGAGGATCCAACGCCCTCTTCTGTCCTCCAAGGGCACTGCATGACATGGGTGCACTTACACACAAGCAGGCATAACACTTATACACATAAAACAAAAATGAATAAATATTGAATTCAAGAATGCTATATTAAACAGACAGGCGACAGACAATAGAGAGATGGTAGATAGGTGATAGATAGATAGATAGATAGATAGATAGATAGAGATACTTTAAAATTTTTGATTTACTTATTTATTTTGAATTTATTTTAATTTTATATGTATGAGTGTTTTGCTGTTTGTAAGTATAACGATATGTACAACACCCATGGAGGCCAGAAGAGGGAGTTAGAGCCCCTGGAAATGAAGCTGTAGATCATTGTTAGCCATGAAGTGGATGCTGAGAACTGAACCCCGGTTCTCCAGAAGAGCAGTCAGTGCTTTTAACCCCTGGCTATTTCTCCAGTCCTGATAGATAGATACTTAACACTCCTGAAATGTGCACTTATAGATACTTAACACTCCTTAACTGTGCACAGTTAAGATGAATTCTATTGTGATAGTTTAGATGGATAAATGGAGAGATGGATGGATGGATGGGTGGATGGACGGATAGATAGATAGATGATAGATAGATAGATAGATAGATAGATAGATAGATTGCTTTCATCCACAGTTCTAGGTTAACTCTCTCCCCAAGGCAGATCATAGAGACTAAAATTTCTCTTCCCTAAAGCTAGAATCCTCCCCCACAATTAGCCAACCACAAAGAAATTATCCAATCTACCCTTTTCTGATGGGTTATAAGACCCTCCTCAGTCTAGAACAGTCCTACCCCATACCCAGGAGGAAGAAATGCTGCACAGAGAGGCCAAGAACTTGAGGAAGTATGCCTTGCTGGGTTTCCCCAGCCCATCTATTAACATTAGATCTCCACCAAAGCCAGAAAGGAAGCTCAGGGAGCTTGGGGTTAGCCAGATACATGAGGTTCCTGAAGGACCACCCAAAGTGGTTCCTACGTGCCTGTCCATCTCTTCATCTGCATCTTTCATAACATCCTGTGTAATAAGCCAGTGTGTTTTCCCCTGAGTTCTGTGGCTGCTGGAGCAAATTAATTATCTCCAAGGAGGGCTTCTGAGAACCGTGCTGTATAGCCATACAGCCAGTCAATTGGAAGCTAAGGTGAACAGCTTGGGGTTAGCCATTGGCATCTTGGGGAGTGAGACCTCAAGTTGTAGGATCTGGAGCTGGGGCAGGGGTGGGGGGAGGCATCAGAACTGAATGGGATTCAACACTCAGCTGAATCTGCTGCAGTAAAACTATTTGCTTCCTAGTAGGGAGCAACCCCCAACACCTTTTGTGTCACAGAAGTCCTCTGTCTTGATTCTTGTGGTGTAAGAGCAGGGAAGAAATAGCTCGATTTTCCTACATGTATGTCATAGTTTTTAATCATTTTTAAAAATTTAAAAATTAAGCCAAGCATGGTGGCTCGTGCCTTTAATCCCAGCACTTGGGAGGAAGAGGTAGGCAGATCTCTTTGAGCTCAAGGCCAGCCTGGTCTACATAGTGAGTTCCAGGCCAGATGAGGCTACAGGGAGACCCTGTCCCAAAAAGATCAAAAAAGGGCCTGGAGAGATGACTCAGAGGTTAGGAACACTGGTTGTTCTTGCAGAAGATCCGGGTTCAAATCCCAGTACCCACATGGCTGGTAACAACTCTCGGTAACTCCAGTCCCAGGGGATCCGACAGCCTCTTCTGACTTCCTCGGGCATTGCACAATGCGGGAGCACTTACCTACATGCAGGCAATACACACATACACATAAAATAAAAATAATAAATAAAATTTTTTAAAAAGATCAAAAAATACCCAGGCATGGTGGCGCATGCCTTTAATCCCAGCACTTGGGAGGCAGAGGCAGGCGGATC